TAAATAGATGATCAAGAAAGCAAACAATTCAACAGTAAAAATAATTTGTTAGCAATAAACAATGTATTGTAAAGCATTGCTGCACATAAAGTGATATAGCAAACAATTACTAAATTATAATAAAGTGTCCTATGCAATCTGACACATGACGCCAGAATCTAAGGGTGGTCAGTTGGTGAGGAGTTTGCAATTAAGAACTATTTTAAGTTATAAGGTATAATTGTTATGTCAGACTTCTGAATCTGTATTTATAAATTAAAGTTCTGCATCTATAAATATATACAAATGTATACAAAATATAAAATCTGCACTAAATACTCCCAAGCAACTGCTCTATGAGAATGACAAAACAGGCAGCAAACTCTTTTTCACTCTCAGAGGCATCAAACTTCATTGATAACTTCCCAGTATTTGATTTCTGAAAACTAATTCCTTAAAATACAAGAATAAAATATATACAGGACATGCAAAAAAATATATTAAAGCCAGGAAATGGTCATAATATGTTATTAGTTCAGCAATTTTTCCTTGCAAGTAATATTTTCTTACTCTTATTTAGCATGATTTACTCTTTAAATGGCCATTTAGGATATTCTAATAGCTGCCGCACTTCTTTCTTATTTCTTGTTAGCTTAAGTGCTGATGTATGCGTGACATCAGACATTTATGGACAAATCGAGTCCCTTGTTGGTTAAAGAGGGAAGGAATGTTTAGCTGCAAAATAAAGGAAAATTCTGTATTACACACAATAGGAAAATCTTACAAGAATCTCAACTATGGGTTCAAAGTCCTTTGCTGACACTCAGCGACAAAAAAGCCTTTACTCCAGACTGTAGCTTCCAAATAGACTCAGGGAAAAACGACTTATATTTCCAAGATATGACCTTGGCTGTGATTAAACTAAGATTTCATTGTTTTTGGTCATAACGACATTTGGGGGAAAATTGGTGATGACTGCAGGGCTAAAAGCATCATCCCAACTGTGAACTGTGGGGTTGGCAATATAATACTGTGTGGGTGTTTTACTGCAGGATGAAAATTATGAACTTGTCGAAATACTCGAGAAACACCTCAAGCTTCAGCAAGGAACTAAAGCTTAAAAACAAATGGGTCTCCTAAGTAGGTGGTGACCATAAACATACAGAAAATGTGTAACAAAGTGGCTTAAGGTGGACAGAGTCAGTGTTTAGGAGTGGCCATCACAAAGATCTCAGAGGGCAAATCTGAGATGTGAGCGGGCGAGGTGGCTTTCGGACCTGATTGGGTTACACCAGTTCTGTCAGGAGGAAGGGGCTAATGTTAGGAAACCCGAGGAAAGATGCTAAAAACATTTGATCCAAGGTCACACACCTTAAAAATACAGTTTCACCAGAGAGTTTAAACATTAAAGTACATTTCAAATAAGAAGTTGATTCTTGTTATTCTGGTTTCTTTAGCATAACTGACCTAAATCAGGAAATATTGTGTCCAAATTATTTTCAGACAGTGAGTAGAGAGGGTCATGTTACTTTTTACAGCAAATGGATATATCTGGTTTCATCTGTAGAAAGGAGGTGTCGCCCAGAGACCTAGATGAATAATGGCCTAGATTTGCAAATAGAGAAATAATACAAATGGAAAGAGATGCATTATTAACCTAAGATAAATTTCCATATTTGTACTGGAAACTCTAACTAAATGGTGAGAAAGAGGCCTGTGATAACAGAACGTCATCTGCCACCTTATTCAAACGGACAATATTTGGGCATTGGATTTCAGTTGAATGGAAGCAGTGATAAAGATCATCATCATATGCATCTCTTCTGTCAAAAGATGTGGATCTGGTTCAAGATAAGCTAGCAGGTTATTTATTTAGACAGACTGCAGCGTTGTCCCACCCGGATCATCTTGACTTGGACTCCATCTTGGAAAAAAGCCCAGATCTGAGGAGCCACTTCCTCCCAGGCCTTTCCCATAGTCCTCAGCCTCTCCAGCTCCTCAAACGTGGTGTTTGCCTGCAGCAGAGGAGAACGTGTGAATCCAAAAATATAGAAACACGTTGCAGGAAACATTGGTAGGAGTGGGAAAAAAAAAAAAAAAAAACACCTAATCCAAAGTTGGACACGAAACTTGGATGCTTAAAAAGATGCACACAACCACACACAGACACACACACACACTAATCTCCTGCTACATACCATTCCCACATCAAACTCTGCGAAAACAAGCTTTGCAAAGACAACATGCACATTCTCCCACGGAGAATTTCCCGCCAGCCTTCACAGATAACCTGCGACGAACGCTTTTCAGTGCCAGATCGTCAAATATTTACTGCACGCTTATCGTTCAAACCCTGGGATGTGTACAGTGCTTTGTGTGGCGTGCACCCAAGGTTGGCTACTTCAGCATTCAGTCATGTGCAGTGGGGGGTAAAAGCACTCAAGAGTACACCCAATTAAACGCCTTCCCCTTGTGTGTGTCTGATTTCGGGTGACAAAGGGGACAATGGAGCCAGGATGACAATGGAGGCAGTTGGTGACAACTGGCTGAATGCATTCAGCCGGCCCAGTGAATCCCAGTAAGGTTCCCACAACCGGGAGCTTCCTCATTCCATTGGACAGTTTAAAACAGCAGGCGACACAAGGGAAGAGGGGGACTCCTCAAGCTGATTTTAGAAAAGCGAGCAGGGGCTAAGATCTGGAGCTTTTTGGCTGTAATTCCACATGTAATGATGGAGTAATTTTTTAGATTTTATAACTAAATTTTCTTTAATTTTGAAGAATTTCTGCCTGGAAAATCTGATAAACATGGGTTGGGTTCAGTGGGTGTGACAGGATATAAGATAAGGCCGACAAATGTAGCTCAATACTCTACAAGAGCATTCTCACATGACGACAACATGTTTGTAAAACATCGTTTCTGACCAGCATTTCCTCGACGTAGTCTGATGCACAACAACAAAGAGCCGCCAGAGTCTTTCCCTTCTGCAAAGTAACGGATTGACCCACTGATTGTCACATTCTTCATGCAATTAAGATTCCAGCTGACGCCAGAGGAAAACAAAGAGGTTTAGAAAGGTTGGGTAGGAACAAACATTAGGGTGTGTCCTTTTTCTCTGTGCTCCCACATCTCTTTAAGGAGAAGCCATGACGGCGTGGCATAACTCTGGAAAAGCCACGGCCCTGACAGTCTGAAGCCCATCAGCTTGTGTTCTTCCATTGCAACCAAGCCATCCATGACTGCTCCCCCCTCCCCTCTTCCTAGCTTAAAGGCTTTGACAAACACTTATCTACATCTAGATACAAAGGTCTGGACATGACATGGGGAAAGCTGATCCCCTTTTTTTAGGGGGGAAATCCATTGTTTAGTGTGTCAGAATAGCCAACTCAAAGAAAAACAAAGATATGGATGTCAGTGGGAGACTGAAAGGATCTCTGGGTGGGCTTATGTGATACCAAATTCATTCAGTTTCTTTCTAGAAGTATCTTGGACGTTGTAGGGTTTCCCTGTGCTGTTCTAGTGTTATTATCTTAACCTTGATTACGTATAAATTAAAACCACTTTTTACTGAAAATACCACCATGACTCCAGATCTTGCAAACACTGAGTTTTTTCTCAGATGTTCTACCTTTTATCTACTGTGTTTTGAAAAGCTATTTATAGCCTTGAGGGTCTCTAACATTTGTACCAGTAAAACAACTCATTTGAATGTATTTTATTTTAATTTTATGACACAAGAGGTCTAAATATTGTGTGATAAAATCATTAAGCCCCCAGTGAGGCAATATGATCTACCAGCTCTGATTATCAACAGCTTTTTCTTATATTTTTCTTTGGACAACAGCTCAACATGAGTCAGATTCGTTGTCAACAGTAGTTTTCCAGTTTTGCCTGGAAATTTAAATGCATTTGAGCTTAAGTTATCCAATTCTGAAGCTCTGGGAATTTGTTTAATTCTACTAAAAGATGAACCTCTGCCTGTTACTTAAAATGGGTTTTCTTCTTGGATTACCCAGTATTTCCATAGAGCAAAGATTGGTTGGAAAGACATTGAAAAGACGACATGAATTACGTCAAAACTATATCTACATGTGGTTGAAAAGTTAAAGGTTAAAAGCCACAATTTTTAGATTGTTAAAAAGACGTTGCATACTGGGTTTGAGACGTCTTTTCAACGTGTTTTATTTTAATAAAGTGGGACAAAATCCGTCTTACCAAACTTTTCAACAATTATTTCTGGGCTAAATTAAAACTATGACTGACCGACCAGATTTGCCCTAAAAACCAACGTCTAAATGACTGCTGGTGGGAATTTGATCCATTTCTATATGGTTTTGCTAAAGAAAAGCATTCCCACAACATGATACAGCCACCACCATGTTACACCATGTGTTTTCACGAGGATTTACAGTGTTAGATTTCAATAGAGGTTTTATTTTTTTATCATTCAAATATGACCGGGACATCTTCTTTCTCATGTTTTCAGTAGTGCTTTTTTTCAAACTGCAAACTTGAAATGTAAACTAGACCCCGTTTTGGGTTCTAAACAAAGATTACAAAATGTCACCATGTCCCTCCCATTTCCAATGTCCTTTTTTGTGTTTGTCTTTCATGTAAAATTGAAATAAAATACACTTTGTTTGATGGCGGTGACTTTTCAAAAAGGGGAAAAGTAGCAGTGGTGCCAATATTTATGCCAAGCACTGAGATATAAGTAGCCTAAAATGAAGACTTCGTCTACAACACAGGGGACCTGGGTTTGAAATACAGTTGTGGCAGGAAGAGCATGTGGCCTGAAAACTTTGTCAAGTCTGACAAATGACTCATAATGATTTTGAAGTTTGACTTCTGGAAAAAGGAGCAGCCAAAAAATGAACACAAATAAATCAGTTTTGAATATGTAGCCTTAATGTTGTACAGAAAGAAAGAGACAAAAAGAGAATATATAGATATAAAAAGTTATACTTCAAACTTTATACATATTCAGGTTGTGGGGTTAAGTATAAACGTATGATGTCCAACCCCTATACATGAAAAACTAATTATTCCATAGCTTTACGATAAAGTTTCCTTACAATGAATAATTATTATATTTCTGTATTGAGTACTATTCATATATTAACAATTAATATATTCACATTTAAGCACCTACAAGATTAATAACAACAATAATACTGTTTGATGAAAAGAAATAAAAAGAGTCAGAACTACAATAAGAATAATTTTAGTCTAATAGCTGTTTTCATACCAGAATTTGAACTTTTCCATGCTTGGGCATGGCTTGAGCTCCACATTCAGATAGTTTCAAAGTTTCTGTACCATACTGTGGTTGCTGCTGCAGGATAATTCTGGATGAAAACCTATTAGAGGCTCCAAAATTCTGTAGACTTCAGCAGAGGTTCACCCTCTATTAAAATTAAGCATATATCCAGAGTTGCAATAAAATGCATTAACTCAAACATAATATAGTGTGTGAAAATAATACAAGCAATAGAGGCAGGTTGAAGTGAAGCAAATCATCTTAAATGCATCCTAAAAACTTGGAATGTTTCACAGAAACTCTAAACAATAAACTTCCTTCCATTTGTGTCTTACATTTCTTATGATTTGCCTGACAGCAGGTGAGTCGGGAGCGTAGACGATCCGTCCCATCAGCATCGGTTTCACAGAGTTCCACACGATCCTTGTGGCAGGATTGGACTGCAGCTCTTTCATCAAGTCATTGCAGAAAGGAGCTGCAACAGGGAACCACTTAATTGATTTTTTTTTCTTTTGCATTTTGAATCCCCTTATTAACAAATCCACTATTTTAATAAAGGGATCCAGTCAATCTGCTATGTTATTAAAACGAGAAATGCACTCACTGGTGCTATTGTCGTAAGTGTAGTCACCCTTGGCCCAGCCGCTGCTGATACCCAGGAAGGCTTTGTAGTTATTGTCCTCATACCAATTAAAAGAGGTGACTCTGGAGAAAGCCCCCTCTGTGTAGCCACATACCAGGCTGGAAGCAGCCGCCATCACCTTCCTGAAGGACAGATTATTCTGGAATAAAGGATTTAAGACCTGGATCAGCTCCCTGGAGCTGCTCCTGTGGAATAACTGGAACGATATAAGAGAAAGTGGAAAAGTTAGTGGCAAACAAGAGAAAACAGGAAGATTCTAGTTCAACGTCTATTTAAAATGCAGGGTTTATAATTGGAAGGATTCTGATGTACATTTTAATGTAAGTCATTTATTTAGAAAAATAGGCAACCGCTTTAATTACTGCAAACAGTTAAATGTTTCAGATCAACAACTTATAATATAACACAATATCTTACAGTATCTTACATCTTTTAATGACAGGAATTGATACTTCACACACTTGTGTTAAAATTTGTTGGACCTCCTGTGCTCTGTTTTTTTTTTTGTTGACTCAAATTTCTACTTTTGTGTTTAACCTTTAAACTTTGTTTAGATTGTTTTATGTCCTATTAGATGCCTCTGTATTCAGTTATTTATTCTTAAATCCTTTTCCATTAGCTTCTTTTGACACGTTCCTACTCTCTGTTGCCCCCTAGTGCCTCTTTCCTTTCTCCTTAGCTCCTTTCTAGCTGCTTCTGTCCACACCTGCTCCCAATTAACTGATTTCTCCACTCTTGGTTCTGTCTCCCATATATACTCCTCTTCTGCAGTTCATCAGTGCTAGATTATCATCAATACTTCGTTCCTATTGTATATTCCTCCAGAGTGTCTGCCTGTTTTGGTTCCTGATTTCCCTGCCTGTTGTTTATTGGATTCTTTTGTCGCTGCCACATTAGCTGCCCCGTAGTAGCTTTGCCTCGTCTGTTTCTATTTGGCTGTGACACCATCCTGGAGAGAAATATCAGCTGTGCTGCTGCCATCAACATCTTATGTTGGAGATCGGCTTGATTTTCCAGTATAGTCCTGTTTCTCTGACTGTGACTGGCTGGATATGCTCTCTTCATCCTCTGACATGGGAGTTAGCTCGGAGTTTGTCTGCCTGGCTGTGTGTTTCCTGCACGGGGCCGCCTTTTAAAGCTGCTTTTTGTATCTCTGCTTCTGTCTCCTTGAACCCCAGTCGGCCTCTGCAGATGGCCGCTCAACCTGAGCCTGGTTCTGCTGGAGGTTTCCTCCTGTGAAAAGGGAGTTTTTCCTCTCCACTGTCACTACAAGCATGCTTAGTGTAAGGGATTGTATTTGAGTCAATGAGTCGATGCAATCAGCTGGTTTTCCTTAGATGAATGTATGAACTGGTGAACTGTAAAGTGCCTCAAGATGACATGTGTTGTGAATTGGCGCTATAGAAATAAACTGAATTGAAACATTAAATATCTGTAAGAACCCATGTCTGCATTTGCGTCCTCAACCAACTTCCACCCAACCCTGACAGTAGGTGTGGCTGGTAGCAGTTAATCCATTATTTATTCAGATTGATATGAAAAAAAATTGGTCCACTGTTAAGAAAATCTGTATTTTCCATTTACTTGGGGAAATCTTTGTCTGATTTTGAAGTAATGTTGATGATTCTATTCATAAAAAGCAAAATAAGACATCTTGAAAAGTACTTGCTCAGTGTGCTCAAGTCATGTAATATCTGGGATCTTCCTCATCTGATTCACAGGAAGTGAGATATTTATGCCTTCCACTTCAAGCATACACTATGTACAGTGCCAAAAGAGACAACTCTGTCACCAACAGGATGTAAGACTGTCAACTGCATTGAACAAATCTTTGGAAACAAAAGAAGTGAAATTAGGTCATAGGATAATAATAATTTTATTTGGATATTTGTTATACAAAGAACTCAGCAAGACTCCAGACTTACATTTTATGCATTATGAATAAAAATAGAATAATAGATAAAAAACAACAACATAAAACTTATAGAAACAAATCATCGGAACTCATCCATCATCATTATTTCCTGGATCGCAGACTGCTCTTGTTTTTTTTCCCATTCATATTGTTATATAATAATGATTTATTATTATTTTTCAGTCAAATGGGCTTGCTCTACATTTAGATTTCCTAACACGCATCAGAAAATATCTCTCCACCGTCTGTTTGCGTATAAACTCAGCCAGGAGGAAGCAACCATTTCCTGTCAGCTATAAATAGGAAGCTGTGAACTTTTGAATGGGGAGCTACTGGTTTGCTGTGCTGACTGGTTCTTACCTCTCCCAGTCTGTCCGAAGCAGCGGAGACGATCCGGACCCAGAAGTGAATGTCAATGCCGTTAGAGTAATTGTCCAGAATACGAGGAAGCTAAAGAAAAAAAGATAAATGTTTTGAAAGGTAAATTATCATTTCTAACCATTCTTGGGAATTGAAAAAAAAATAGAAGAAACATTGATGTTAAATTTAATAATGAATATTGAATAGACCATGAAAAAAAAAAAAAAAACAAACAGAAAGCAAATTGAAGCGTCTTTTTCTTTCTTAAAAGGGAAATATTGGTTAAAAAGAAAAGAAAAACACACAAAAATAAATTGCATGCAGGGCACATCTAATTATTTCACCACTTAATCCTGCGTTTTAATTTTTCTTTGTTGTGTCTTTAGATCATTGCAGAAGACACAATTACCGTATTTATTTAGTTCAAAGTTAATCAAAAGACTCACATATGGTGTCAAATTATCAAAAAGGAACCCCCATCCCACTCTCTGTGGCAGTTGAGAGTTTTAGTTTTTGTTTTTCCCTTTTACTTCCCACCAACTCTGAGTAACTCAACTGTTCCCACAGCATGATGGTGCCACCACCAGCTATGGCTATGATAAATTCCACATTTGTAGTGCTGTATTGTTATGTTTTCTGCCAAATTGAAGTTCTATTAAATAGTTGGCATAAGAAGGCCTTTGCTTATTTTTTATTTATTTAATACTAGCAGAGGTGTCAAAAGTATTAATGTTTATTACCCAAGTACAGTAGAAGTATAAATCCTACTGTTTAAAAACAATTTTGTAGAAGTTAGAGTCTCAACTTAAGCTTTTCACTCAAGTAAAAGTGTAAAAGTACGGTACCATTTTTAGACCTAAAATATAAAAGGAAAAGTAATGAATAAAGTTAAGGACTGATGCTTTACTGCAGTGCACTACCCTATCAAAGGAAAATTTTTCTACAATTCTGGATGACTAATGGCTACAGTGTCGAAATAAGGTTTGCATCTTCTTGAAAAACTATTTATATTTGTATGTAATTATGTAATGAACAACAAGTTGGTGCAGCTCCAAGTCCAACCACAAAGAAATGAATTGCCTGGATGAAATTAGTTATTTTTAAGGGTTGTTTGTTTTTGTTTTTTTTGTTTTTTTTTTAATACCAACAGGCCATAATGAAAATGAGCTTATATGAAACAAAACTCATGAGTAACTGAGTAGAAAGTGGAGATAATTGCAAAAAATGAAAGGAGTTGAAGTAAAATTTGTCTAAAAAATTACTACTCCAGTAAAGTATAGGTAGCCAAAATTTCTACTTAAGTAAGGTGACGAAGTATTTGTAATTTGTTACTTGACACCTCTGAATGCTATTAGCAAAAATGTAGTAAATAAATAGCAGACTTTTTATTTTTATCAATAAAACATATTGAAAACAATGAATCCTTTGCTAAATTTGATTCTAATCATATTAAACATTTGTTTATTAACTAAACTAGAGTTTCTAATAAAACAGTGAAATTAAATATCCGTGATTCAAAAACCAAACTAGCATCTGGAAAACGGATAAGATCCTCCGTCTGTCCTCAGTTTCCTTTGTTTCTACTTGAGGACTATTTGGGTTTTCCAAAACACCTTCCAGAAAAACTCACAAGACAATAGAAGAAAGGATCAGGATGTTAGATGAAGCCAAGACACAGAGAGTTACCATCAGGAACATCCTTCCTCTTTTCAGCATTCACGTTTTACTCGTATGAAATGAAGATTTGTTTCTGAGAAAAGTTCAGAGCTTTTTCTTGCAACTGTACCCTTGGAGACATGGTAAACTGTTAAAGAGCAGCTGGCACTGTTCCACTGGACTGTTCCTGGGTAGGGATGAGGCAGGCAGGAGCATCTGTTGTTGTCTGTCTGATTGTCAGTGTCAGTGTTTACGCTTTCAGACAGAGAAAGAAAGAGATGTCGTGTCTTTGCTCAACCTCTCCAAACATGATTTCTTAGGTTCACCCCACATTTTTTAGAGATAAAGATAAAAAAAAGTTTGTTTTTTTTTTGTTTTTTTTAAATAGGTCAAGTATATAGGTCCACACAAACCATACTCACTATAATCACCTAAGAATACTGACACCAAATACAAAAAAATGTCCTTGTTAGTGGTTTATCTGTTTTCTTGAGGTTTTTTATTTTCTCTCCTGGATTATGTTTTTTCTCTCCTCTTTAATTTAGAAATATTTATATAAAAAACGTTTAATCAGCTCTGAAAAATAACGAAAAGAGACAGCAGTAACAAGGAGCAATTTTGTTAGACATGTGAATGGTACAGATTAGATATGAATGTTGAATTGTGTATGCTCTTCCAGAGGGAAAAAAAAAACATCAAAAAAGAAAATTAATGAATAAAATAGTTTGCTTTGGATTTGGTGAGGCTGTTATATTTGTATTTAAATTGTCCTGTTAATTAACACAGAGCCTTTCATGCAGGAGAATATCCATATCCTAAGCTTTTAATAGAAGCGTGTGAGTTGCTGCTCTTAATATTTATCCATAAGCTTAACTTAGTCGCATTTGACCAAAAGCACTCTGTTCCAGTTAAATTCCTATTAGAGATGTGAAAACTCCAGATGTTGACATGTTTGAAGTTGGGACAGTAAACGCAACTTCCTGCCGTCCTTTGATATTTTCATTTACTTGCTTTTATTCTCATTTTTGTGTGGTCCAATAGTTTGATTTGTTTTACAAATGTTTTCGCTTTTCATTCTGCTTTTTTTCTTCTTCTATTTTATTATCTAATTCATGTAAAGCACTTTGAAATTCCATATACTAAATTGTGCTATAAAAATAAAATTGCTTTGCCTTACACTTTACTTCTGTTTACATATTGTTTATATCTCCACAGTAAGGCAAGGAAGGAACCAAACCAGAGCTCCCCTTAAGCCTTTTTGTCAGAGTCCTTGTATTTTATGTTTTTAAACCTTTATATATTTTAGAGAATAATTTATTCCTAGACTTATGAGGACCAATACACATCTGCTTTACTCCAATGGCATGCTCTCTTGTCTTTCCGTTTTGGAAAGAGAGAAAGGGAAATGTGGCTCTAAAGTAGTAGACTAATGGTCAGTCTTTGTAACTCTTTAGCTCACACTCTTTAATAAACACTGTTTCAAAGCTGAGCTAAGATTAGGACTGGGTGCTCTGCTACTAACGTGTCATTTAAGATCAAGTACTTTCCTAATTTAGCCTCTTGGACCTGATCAGTTTATTTTTGGAGGAAACTACATTTGTTTATTGTAAAGATAAATAAAATATTCTGATCCACTGAAAGAGGGGGAGATGGTCCTACGAAATGATGCTGTGTGTAAAAAAAAAAAAAAAAAAAAAAAAAAAAACATGTAAAGCGAAGCACATTTTGAGATTTTCTCCTCTTGTGTTTCCCTGGTCATGTTTTTGTTCTGCATGACAGTTTAACAATGCTGTGTTTACTTGCACTGCATTTCCCTGAAAAAACATCAGCTCCACCCTGTGAGTCATGCTCTGTGTAAAAAATAAATAAAAAACACAAACAGATGTTTATCCTTTGGGTCAACCGACTTTAAACACGTGAGGCACCTGAATGTTCCTTCTGTTATTATAAACACTTTACTTCTCTTTTATTTTTTTATTTTTTTTTACATCAAATAGAATATTTATAATATATGCAGACAGTAATTTATTTGTAAATTATCTCTGGAACTTTTGCGACCAATACTATAGAGACAGCTAATATGGGAAAAAAAGAGAATATAGCCTACACACAGAAGACTAATTCACGTGCATGAAATACTGATTTGTCTGCAGGAAATAAACAACTTATTTAAAGCAGGAAACTTTACGATATATTTCAGTATTTTTATACATCCCTTATAACTATTGTTCTTCCAGGGCCTTGCTGCTCCATCCCAGCAGTCTTAGATGTGCCAGTAAAGCCAGCTGATTGGCTCTTCATATTACATTTAAATGTCTCTAATTAATGAGAATTCTGGCAATCATTTTCTAGCTCATCCCCAACCTTAAATAAAACTCAGACTATTGCAGTCTATCATGTTTTTATTATTTCTCTGTTCTCTGATTGTTTGAAAAAGTTAGCTGCATAGAAAGATTATGTTCTAGTATTTTATGCATATTTTGTGCCACAAACCTCATGCATAAGAATCAATACTTCATGTGCATGCTCTCTCTTTTTTTTCCTGCCATGTCAGTTTCAGGCTCTCAACACTCCCAAAACTTTTATTAAGTTCTTTATTGCTCTTAAATAAAAGATGCCTTGCAAAATTAATTTTTAATTGAATTTGTCTTCATTTGCCTTTGCAGATGAAACTTTTTTAGTCACAGCTGCTACTCTATCAGGGGTATGTCTACACCGGTTAGGCACATCCAGATGCTGGACTTTTGTGCCTCTTTCACTTTGTGAAACGGTTTAATTTGAGTTTTTTTAGTAGGTCTGGTTTTTGACTATGCTATTTTATGAAATGTTCTAATCTAAGCCATTTTTGTGGTAGATCTGGCTGCAGGTTAAAGGTCACTTTTAGTTGTAACGTGAAGCTTCATCCCCTCAGCCTGATTCCAGGGCCAACACTGCAAAAACGATCTAGAAATAAGTACGGTAAAACTTTCTTAAATTAAATGTATTTAACCTTAATTTGAGAAGGTAAATGAGATGAGTTGCCAATGGAATGAGTGTTTTTACTCTTAAAATAAGATATTTAGATAATATGCACTTGAAATAAGACAATGCAATTGTGTTTTCTTATTGTAAATGTAAATTGTCTTGTTCCATTGGCAAGATGACTATTTAACCTCCTCAATTTAAGAACAAATGCACTAATTTTAAGAAAAAATTACTTATCTAGATTTAGATTTTTTCCAGTGAATCCTCTGACTACCAACGGTTTAAGAAGATTCTGTATGAGATGTACCATGCTTTGGTCATGTTTAATACTAAGCGCTCATTTCCAAAAGTCTGGACCTGGATGCTGAGTCTTCTGGAGACTATGATGTCAGTCAAATAAGCCTCAAGTGCCATTTCGCACAGTGTGCTGTTGGCCTGTGGGAAACTGATGTTAAGATCTAATAAGATGCATTTAAAAGTGAGTGTTAGAGCCAAACAAAATGTAAATATTCTCTCTGTAAAGTTAGAGCACAATTGAGAAGTTAAAAGCCTGCAATGAATCGGAAGCTGCTGTGACATCAAGGTCACGGTCTGCAACAAAGACCCTGCTCCAAAATGTTTTTGCAGCTGCCCATAAAAAGACAAGAAAAAAAGATAAATCTTTGCTGCTCATTTGACCCAATATGGCCACAATGCTGCAAATTATATATTTGGAAGCCTAGAGGAGATTTTTACTTCAGATCAACAGCTCAAGTCAACATATATGGCTAAACCTAAAATAAACCTTTCCTATCTCAAATGAAATGTTATTAAATTATGCTAAGAAGTCTGGTTTGCATCATTAACCCAACAAATCTAAATGAACTCTGCCCTCTGCAAAGAAGTGTAGTTAAATATCCAACCAGAAGTATGCCAGAAGATTGTTTAAAGGAAGAAAAAAAGCATGAGGTCGAGGTGATCTTTGATCCTGTGTTCCTTTGAGAAAATCTATAGTAAAGACAAGCTTAACCTCCAGGTTACTAAAGTTGTGTGCTGTAATATCCTTCTTCTTTAAATAAATCCTTAATTATTAATTATTGATTAATATGACAATAACTGGCAAATGCAAACATTAAGGGGAAATCCATAAACTGTATTTATTATTTCTGTGTAACTAAGTTATAGACTAAAAAAAAAAAAAAAAAAAACTTCACTAACCAGCCGGAAGAGTTTGAAAAAATCCACATTGGCATAGAATTTGTCCTCGATGATCTGCAGCCTTTGCGGGGTCAGGATGCACATGGCGTTCCGAACGGAATAGAGTCCTCTGTGGCTTTGGAAAATCAGGAATCGCTCCAGGAGGTTGAGGCTGCAGGCGATGTCTTTTAAATGCAAGTCTGGGACCCCAAAAGCAAACTGAAACACAGCGGAAACAGGGGATTGCATCCTTTTAGTACAATCATTGCTCAACCTGTAAAAACTACTAAAGGGATTAAGTAACAAGGTAAATTGCTGAATTATGACGTTAATGCTTTTGTTTTTGGGACTTGGAGCCGTATTTAAAAAGCGAAACTAACAAAAAAATCACAGTTTGATTTATTGTTATCTACAAAACCTCTGTTGTACTGTAGTTAACTGCTGAACATATGTGCAAACATTCCAGGTTGGGATGACTTTGACAGCTGCTGCCAGGAAGAAGGCAGAGTGTTACACAACAGGGAAACCCAGAGGAAGACAGTTTTTCCCTCTAATGAATTTCTTTGGAATTCCATATAAAAACTATATAAAGACACATCACACATCTACTTTATTTTTAAATCAATTCTAGGAAACTGGGTTTGACTTCAAATTAAAGCACGAAACACTTCTCATTTCTTCAGTTAATTGATGTTATTTTTATCTATTGAATAGAATAAATCTTGCTTTGTGGCTTAGCTGTCATCATCAGCATCCTTTAATCTGCTCTCGATTATAAAAAATCAACTTTTATTTTACAATAAGATGAGAATTAGAACAGACAATTATTTTCTTGTTTTTGCTCCATCTAAGACTTTTTTCTTAACATGGGTTTTCAAATTCTAAATGAGAAAAAAAAGTAAACGTAACGTATTTAAATGAAAGACAGAAGGTTGAATAAGAAGTGATTTAAGCTCAAATAAAATGGGTATGAATGATCTGCTTTCATTGCATTATTTACACAAAGATTGAAATTATTTGTTTTTGAAATGGAAAAATAAACAATTCCACCTGCTGATGTAGATTCTCAGTCATCCAGGTCATAGTCATTCCGTAAAAGTAAAAAAAAAATCCACTGGACTTGGTTTCCAAGATTTGAAGACTGGAGAGGTAGCGAAACGTCTTCAAATTGTGGATTATTATTATTATTATTATTATTTTTTTTTTTTTTTTTTTACTTTAACGGAAAAACAATTCCACCTGGAGCTGCAAACATAATATTATTTTTACCATTTTAGTTTTATTTTGTACCAAAATTCATAGAATTAATCATCCTTATCTAATTTTGGAGGATATTAAACATTTTTGCTGTTTGTTTTCCTCACAGAATAAGCTAAATATAGCAAGCAGATGGATTATTAGCAATTAGACACCATGTCTGTCCATATTTTGCAGCAGCATGTTTTTCTTAATAGGAATTGAACTTTATTGATCTCACATCAGGGACATTTACCTCTGCATTTAATCTATCCCCTTGGGGAGCAGTGGGCTGCCGTCGTGAGTCGTCCAGCGGGCAATCGGAGTTAAGGGTCTTTGCTCAGAAACCCAGTGTGGCAGTCTGTGGGAGTGGGGCTCGAACTCAGAACCTCAGGATTCCAAGCACTATGCCCTAACCACTAGGGCACGATTCCCCCCTAACTAGGGCGCCACTCCCCCTTTCTTATAAGCATTGTCAGAGTGTGAGGCAATTCCTTTCAGCCAGCTGGCTGGCAGTGTGTTGAAACAGTGGGGAAAAGGGGCATTATTGATATAATGACATTAACAGTCAACTGAAGAAGACAAATTGGATTTAAGATTGTAAATGTTCTACACATGGTTAGTTATGTCTTATATATTTTAAATCATTGGTCTCAAACTCTCAAACAGCTCACAAGGATTTGGGTTTTTTCACCATGTGCTAATTTCCTGATAAATTGATTTAAGTGTCTTTGAAATATGTTGGTTTTGTTTCTGTTTACAGATGAAAATACTTTCAGTACCTCATCTAGCCATGACACATTTCTATCTGTGACCTATCAAAATTTGTTGGTACATACGAGCCTAAAATTCTGGTATAAATATATGACCATATTGGTTTAAACAGTTCAAACGTTTAGTTCCTGGGGAAATTTGGCTGTACAGTCTCTGCTCCCATTACATAACTGGTCTGGGGAGCTTTCTACCTAATGTTAGGAATGTTTCCTATTGTTGTCTGGGATGAATAGGTTCACCTTAGTTCCTGAACGTTATGGTTATCACATATCCTGTAAAGTGATGGTGAAATGCTGCAGCCAGTATTCTTGTCTACACTGAAGTGTTTCTTCATATGTGTGCATATCCGTACCCGTTCAGGCCTGATTTGGGCATTGACTAGATGATACACCACAGACTCCGTCAGAGGAACGTCTCTCAGCAGGAATGACGTCAGAGTTTCATCGTCCTTCAGGATCGTCTCCACCTTCACTCCTCTACCTGTGTGGAAATAAGGGAAGCAGTTTGTGTCGTTCCATGCCCTGTTGGCTTTAACGGATAACTGCACACTGGAAAAACTGGTCCAGGGAGAAAAAAATATATATATCCTAATTAATGCATACCAAGGACAAGCTGGAACAAGTCAGTTTCAGAGGAGGAATCGGAACAGGATGAGTACTTGCTGTTTGTTCCACCTCAACACAGGAGCAGTATTTCCATCAGCCTGTCTGTGCATGAGCAAAGTTTACTTTGAAAGCCAGAGTGTACATTTGGTTTCTATCCAGTTCTGCCTGTTCCCTCTTCTGGGTGATCTCACTTAGTTGTGTATCCAGTGGAAACAACATGGAGTGGAAAAGCAAGTGTGGGCATGAGATCCGTGTATTGATTTCATGAAAGAAAGTAAAGCAGCACAACACCCTGAAAAATTTCTACATGAAATGTTTGCTTCTGTTAGAAACAGCCTTAAAGACCTTCTTAGCACCACCTCAAAGAAATGTTAAGAGAAGCCGTCTTGAAGTAAAGTCTGAGCTTAAAGAATTTGATGGGAATCCATGAGTGTAAAGCTGTTGCTCATTGCCCACATTCCTCATTATGTAACAGATCACAAACTGACCTGTGCTCTGAATCACTATAATCCCACTATGGAGGTCACTTTTTGTCAGTAGTGCGAAGAGACAGACAAAGTGACATAACATGAGTATTCACACAGATGACACTTTAATGTTTCCTTTTATATGCCAACATGAAGCAGCACCTAACTGTAAAATGGGAACAAAAATCTAAATTGTGGTGTGGATATTTTTACTCAGCTTCCTTTAATCCACTAATTACTGCAAGTATTCTACAAATATGGGCTTTGTGAAAGAGAGGGGCAAAAAGAAAGGTCATTCTTGTTGGTAGTGTCAATTAATTCACCGATGAAAAAGCTGTTTTCCGCATTGGTTTTTAACTTAAGTTCAGTTTAACTTCCATTAGATCTGCTGGACGTTTTTTTTTTCCCCGTCATAAGTTTCTTTCATTCCATTTAATTGTACTACTTGGTATTATGGGTGTATTCTGCATTTAATTTGGGGCCTTTTACCTTCTTCTGAAGCACTTTGGTCAACATTGTTGTTTTAAAATGTGCTTTATAGATATATTCAATATGAGCATGATGTGGAAAATTCAGTGAATATTCTGACATATGACAAAAAAATTGAAACATTAGCGTTTGAAAGGTTTAGTTATTAATTAATTCCACACAAAAAAGAGAAAATAAAAACTAATCTATTGGACTTTGTTTCCAAGTTTGAAGACGTTTCGCTTCCCATCCAGGAATTTTTCCTAAATTAATTT